TCAGCTTTGGCCTGTGTGCTCGAAGGCAGGCAGGGTTCTGTAGGCAGTAGGGGAGACTAGCCATTGTGAGCAGACAGATCGGACTGCCTAGGAACCTCTTGGTTCCTAATAGGCTTGGGGGACCACCTGGCTAGACCCGAGGTCCGAGTTGGGGGAGCCAGTGCCCGTGGACCAATGTTGAAGGGTGACAACCCATTTACAGTGATGGGGGCAGCAGGGGTCTGTCTCTTGGGCCCAAAAAGTGAGCTTTGTAGTAGATAGAGTTTTCCGGAGTATTCCTTCTTTTCTTTTGAAATCAACACTGTGTTTATTGATTTAGACTACTTTATCGAGGTACAACTGATGTACAAAAAGCCGTACCTATTTAATGTGTACAACCTGATGAGTGGACGTATGGTGACACCAGGGACACCATCACCATAAGTTAGGCTGTAAAAATATCTATCACCTTCCAGAGTTTCCCCTGCCCTCTTATCTATTATTCTATTTATCTATAATAATACTTATTTTGTGGCAAGAACACTTAATACGAGATCTCTTTTTGAATGTATAGACTGCCTTTTGTCTATGCATTCATTCGCTAAGTTTGTTTCCACATCTTGGCTTCTGTGAACGGGATGCAGTGAGTACGGGATGCAGCTCTCCCTTCAGGGTCCCGGTTTCAATTCTTTTCTTTGGATGAATACCCGGAAGTGGGCTTGCTGGGTCAGCAGAGCGTGACCTCTCTGGGCTTCAGTGGACTTTCCTGCAATATTGGCGGGGAGGTGGGGGGTCTCGTGAGTGGTGCAAGGTCAGAGATAACGAGGTGCCTGCACGTTTGTGCCTTTCCACAAGGTCAGACTTTTATTGATGCAATTTCAGTCATAAAAGCCACGAACCACATGGAGCTCTCAAAGAGACAATTCTCCTTAGTACTTCCTGCTCACTCGGAGTCAGAGCCTTGGGCACACGGGCTGAGGCTGCGCCACAAGTCAGCCAACACTGCAAACCATACATAATAATATACTTAATCAATATATAAGTGTATAGATTAAACATTCCACATCAGAGTAACATTTATCATCAAGAGAAAGGGGTTAGGAAAAAGGGCTAATGAACTAGTCCAGGGAGAGCCGGGAAGACAAAAAGAACCTCCTGCTCTGGCCTGGGCAGTCTGTCAGTTTCATGGGAAAGAGTTTCTGATGTCGGCAGAGGGTTCGCTGGCAGATGCTAGGTGCTTATCACGAATGACAGCAAGATAGTGTCCATTAAGACAGCCATTTCAGGCTGCTGAAGTCCTGCTCTTTTCTCTTGTTTTGTTTTTCGTTTCTTTTGTTTGGCTTTTTTGTTTTTTTTGCCAGGGTCTTGCTTTGTTGCCCAAGCTGGAGTGCAGTGGCGTGATCACAGCTCACTGCAGCCTCGACATCCCAGGCTCAAGTGATCCTCCCACCGCAGCCCACTGAGTAGCTGTGCCACCATGCTGAACTAATTAAAAAATAAAATTTTGTAGAGATGGGGTCTCACTGCATTGCCCAGGCTTGTCTCAAACCCTGGGCTCAAGCAATCCCCCCACCTCAGCCTCCCAAAATGCTGGGATTCCAGGTGTGAGCCACTGTGCCTGGCTGTCCTCTTTTTATGGCCACAGAGTCCTCTACTGAGGACTGACAGTAGAGGAGTATGCTTGTGTATATCCTTGTCTGGTTGGATGCTGTGTTTATTTATCTGCAGGACGTCTTGTCCCTGCTGACAAAGCGAAACGTAAGATGATGTCTTTTTCTAAGATGGAGTTACTTATGTCAAGGGTGCTCTGTGCAAGCCTCACACATCTGCAATGGGACCCTGTAGGGGAACAAAGAACTGGCTTCAGGCAGGACTGCCTGACACAAGTCTCTTCTTTCCTTTCTGGGGGGCCGGTGCTGGGGAGGGTGTGGTATAATCAGGTGAGTGGTCAGGGCTGAGAGCCTGACTCGTTGGGGTAAATACTTTTCTCGGTGCCTCAGTTTTCCCCTCTTAAAAGTGGGTTAATAACCCCTTATGACCTTCCAAATAGAACATAATTAGCTAATTCCTGCTAATGACTGACGACTACCTACTATATCTCTTTGATTTTAATTTCTCCACCCACAGTTCACCCATCTGCCCGAAGCCAGGCAGCCCCATTCCTCCCTTTGGTCTGGTGGACCAACTGGAGTTCAGATTCAAACTTCAAAACAAAATGAAAGCTGGGCACGGTGGCTCATGCTTGTAATCCCAGCACTTTGAGAGGCCGAGGCGAGCGGATCACCTGAGATCAGGAGTTTGAGACCAGCCTGGCCAACATGGCAAAATCCCATCTCTTCTAAAAATACAAAAATTAGCCGGGTGTGGTGATGGGCGCCTGTCATCCCAGCTACTCGGGAGGCTGAGGCAGGAGAATTGTTTGAACCCGGAGGCGGAGTTTGTGGTGAGTTGAGTTAGTGCCACTGCACTCCAGACTGGGCAACAGAGTGAGATTCGGTCTCAAAAAATAAATAAATAAATAAAGCCCACCCAAAATGAAAGACCTTAACAGCACAAGTCTAGTGTGTGGGCCTCAAAGGCCAGTGGGGAGTGGCCTGGCAGGCTGTCCCAGGAGCCCAGGAGCCAGTCCTTGGCTGGCCTGCATCCACCCACCTTTGCCACTCTGCCCCGACCCATGCTCCAGAGGGGCTCTGCTGCTGTCCCGCTTCCCTGAAGCCCCTCCATCCACTGAGGATGCAGGGACTGGCCTCCGGGAGAGAGAAGAAGGCCAACCAGGGTGCCCCTACCCACTCATGCCCATGGGTGATTTACCCCACAAGGCCAGAGAGTGCTGGCCAGGTCACAGCGTGCTCTGGCCTCAGCTTACACATCAAGCTTCTGGTAGTTTTCAAAAACATTTTTTAAAACAATGAAAACCTTGTTTCAAATATATTTTTTTGCAAGCCCTCAAAATAATGCAACAATTGGCTTGAAGCAGGAGCAGGGCACAGAGGGTCTCTGGATCATTCCTTAAGACAAGTTGGGGACACAGACAGACCCTGCATGGACAGACCCTGCAGGAGGTGGGAGACTGCAGCCCCAGGAGCTGCTCTGCCGCCTCTGAGGGCTCCCAGGGGATTGTGAGGGAGGCGGCGGCGCAGCAAACACACTCATTATTTTGGACATCTCTGTGCCATGTAGGTATTTTCAGTAAATATCACCTCTAATTCTTACAGCAACTAGGCTTGATTTTCAGATGAAAAAAGGGTCAAGAGGCTTTATCAAAAACCCAGATAGCTGAAAGTGTGGCAGAGCTGAATTTTGAACCCAAATCTATCTGACTCCAAAGCTAGTGTTGCCCCCCAACCCGCACGAGGCCCTTTGCTGCTTCTCCTGGGGGTGGGGTGTGTGGGTGCGGGGCGGGGTGGGGTGGCAGTTATGACCAACTCCCTATATAGAACCACCCTTGACGTAAGTAACTCCATCTTAGAAAAAGACTTCGTCTTACATTTCATAGGGCACTTTGCCGACAAGGACAAGGTGTTTGCTTGATAAATTTAAAGACTGCTTCCATCCAGACAAGCACACTCCTCCACTGTCAGTCCTCACCAGAGGACTCTGTGGCCATAAAAAGAGCAGGACTTTGGCTGTTCAGCCTCTGTTGTCACTGGAGATAAGCACCCAACATCCACTGCCAAAGGCTCTGCCCACATCACAGACTCTTCCCTGAAAGACTGATGAACCGCCCAGCCCAGCCCAGCCCAGACTTTTTAGTCTTCATGGCTCTCCATGGACTGGTTCATTAATCCCTTTTCCTATCCCCTTTCTCTTGATATGTTTCTCAGGTTTGCCATAAGTGTTACCTCATGGTTCCTGATGATTACAAGTCTGGTATATCTTGCATGGCTCTGCATGCCGAGAGAGCATTCATGTAGGAGAACTGCAGGTTACAGAAGTGTTCTCTGAATTTCATTTATGGCTGGAATTTCCAGCTGAGTGGCAAATTCATTATATCTGTCACATACCGTCCCTAAGATAGCTGATTTTCTTGGATTTCTTTGTCCCTGTGTTAGATTGTTCCAAGTCCATCTCCAGATTTTGTTGGGTCTAAATATGGGTGCACAGCTCTCTAGGCTGATGTGATCCAGTCCCAGAGGGCTAGAACACATCTTGGCTGATTGGTTTCTTTTCTTTTCTTTTTTCCTTCTTTCTTTTTCTTTCTTTCTTTCTTTCTTTCTTTCTTTCTTTCTTTCTTTCTTTTCTTTCTTTCTCTTTCTTTCTTTCTTTTCTTTCTTGCATCTTTCTCTCGCTCTCTTTCTTTCCCTTTCCTTCTTTCTTTCTTTCCTTTCTTTCTTTCTTTCTTTCCTTCCTCTCTCTTTCTTCTTTCTTTCTTTCTCTCTTTCTCTCTTTCTCTTTCTCTCTCTCTCTCTCTCTCTTTCGAGACAGTCTTGCTCTGTCACCAGGTGCCATGCTAGAGTGCAGTGGCATGATCTCAGCTCACTGAAACCTCCGCCTCCTAGGTTCAGCAATTCTCCTGCCTCAGCCTCCTGAGTAGCGGGGACTATAGGTGCGTGGCACCATGCCCAGCTAATTTTTGTATTTGTTAGTAGAGAGGGGATTTCACCATGTTGGCCAGGATAGTTTTGATCTCTTGACCTCGTGATCCGCCTGCCTTGGCCTCCCAAAGTGCTGGGATTACAGACGTGAGCCACCGCGTCCAGCCTTCTTTCTTTTTTTTTTTTGAGACAGAGTCTCTGTCTTGTTCAGGCTGGAATGCAGTGGCGCCATCTCCGCTCACTGCAACCTTTGCCTTCCAGGTTCAAGAGATTGTCCTGTCTCAGCCTCCGAGTAGCTGGGAATACAGGTGTGTGCCACCACACCCGGTTAATTTTGTATTTATAGTAAATAGGGGGTTTCACCATGTTGGCCAGGCTGATCTCAAACTTCTGACCTCAGGTGACCCACCTGCCTCAGCCTCCCGAAGTGCTGGGATTACAGGCGTGAGCCACCACACCCAGCCTTGGCTGATTTGTTGATGGTTCTAATGGTTTATGATTTGGTAGTTTTATAACAGTTCATGACGTTTCCTGCTTGTGCAGGGATCCGAGGCGTTTCTGTGCCTGATAGTGCCATGGTGTCTGCTCCATTCTCCCACAGATGGGGGGACAGTCCGATTGTGCTCTGTCTTTGGCAAAACTCCGTTCTTAGTTTTAGTGACTCTGCTGTGGTGTATTCTCTGTCCTCGCTTGTGTCCTGAGGTCTGCGATTCTGATAGTTATCATCGATAACTCTTTCTCTAGTTATTGTAGGTCCTTCTGTATATACACACCCCAGTGGTCATTGTAATCTAAGTTCTCTGCAGGGGTTCCTCCCTAAAACTTACCTCTGACAGGGATTTACTTTTCCTTAAAATTCTTTGAGCTGGCTCTTTTCCTGTCTGGCAATCTGTGAGATATTTTGCATTAAAAGTGCAGGGATTTGTTTCCCCTCAGGGATCAGACAGGGAGTCTTTCTGACTTCCAACTCTATTTGGGCAACTGTTCGATTTCCCACCTTGGTCAACTGTGTGAGTGGGGATCATGCAATAATTGGCTTTCTCTTCTTTCAGACGAGTTAAAAATTTGTTTGGCCAATTCCCATCTCCTAAGTTGAGACCATGCTTACTATGCGCCTTTCTGGCTGCACCAGCTTCCTAGCCTGGAATCAGCCGAGATCGTGTCAGCTCTTGGAGCTATAGGATGTGGGTAAAGAACCCCATCACCTGAGGGTTTCCTCAGGAAGCCAGACTTTCAAGGTGAAGTGAGATTATGTTTCTTTTTCGAGAGGGCGGCAGTTTGTTTTTTCAAACGGCTCGATTTCTTGAACTCCCGACCTCAGGTGATCCGCCCGCCTTGGCCTCCAAAGTGCTTGGATTACAGGCATGAGCCACCACGCCCAGCTCAAACGGCTCGATTTCTAATTTAAATGTTAGTGCAGGCTTTGGCCTTAGAATCCACTGTGCCAGCTATGCCTGCTAAGCTGATTGTGCCAATTCTCATGAGTGGTGCGAGGTCACAGACAACCAGGTCCGTGCACCTTTGTGTCTTTCCACAAAGTCAGAGATACTGATGCGACTTTAGTCACACTTGAGCCGCACGGAGTTCCCGAGGAGACGGGTCTCTTTAATACTTCCTGTTTACTCCATAGTCAGAGCTCAGGCACACAGGCTCCAACCACTCCAGCCAACACTGCAAACCATACATCATAATATGCTTAACCAATATATCAAAGTATAGATTCAATATTCCACATCAAAGTAACATTTAACATCAAGAGAAGGGGGTTAGGAAAAAGGGTTAACACACCAGTCCAGGAAGAGCCACAAAGACAAAAGCAATCTCCTGGTCTGAGCTGGGCCGTTCGTCAGTCTTGCAGGGAAGTTTCTGATGTTGGCAGAGCCTTCGTTTGTAGATGCTGGGTGGTTATCACGAGTGACAGCAAAACGCTGTCAGTGAAGACGGCATCTCGAGCCTGCTCTTTTTATGGCCACAGAGTCCTCTGGTAAGGACCAACCGTGAAGGAGCGTGCTTGTGTGCTCTTGTCTGGATGGATGTGGTCTTTATTTTGTTATTGTTGTTTTTGGAGATGGAGTCTTGCTCTGTTGCCCAGGCTAAAGTGCAGTGGTGCGATTCTGGCTCATTGCAACCTCCGCCTCCGGGGTTCAGGCAATTCTCCTGCCTCAGCCTCCTGAGTAGCTGGGATAACAGACGCATGCCACCACACCTGGCTAATTTTTGTGTTTTTAGTAGAGACAGGATTTCACCATGTTAGTCAGGCTGGTCTCGAACTCCTGACCTTGTGATTTGCCCACCTTGGCCTCCCAAAGTGCTGGGATTACAAGCGTGAGCCACCATGCCTGGCCAAATATAGTCTTTATTTATTAAGCAAAACGTCTTGTCCCTGTTGGCAAAGTGCCCTATGAAATGTAAGATGAAGTCTTTTTCTAAGACGGTGTTACTTATGTCAAGGGTGCTCTGTACAAGGCTTCTGGTCCCTTGGCTGCATGGGGAGGGCCCTGGGAAGTGCTGGGAGTTGGGACAGGACCCCGACTTGAAACCTGCAGGAGCCGGCTGCTGGCTGGCAGAGACCCACTGGGTTTCTGTGTTGACGAAGTCCTCACAGCAGTCTTCACAGCCGGCTGACTCAGAGCTGGGGGTACTTTCCTTCAGGCTCCAACCAGGTGTGGAGACTTGTGGTTTACTTCCTTCTGTGGGAGTTCTGGGCTGTGGGTCAGCTTTGTGTTCCCCTGATGGGCTGGAGTTACAGATATTTCTGGATCTTCCTTGGGGCCCTGCAGCCCCGTTCTCCAGCAGCTCCTTCTGGTGAGGCAGCTGAGGGCGGTGACGGGTCAGAGGGAAGGTGGGCAGGCAGGGGTTTTGGGGTGTCCACTACCAGCTGGCTGGGCCTGCGGCTGGCCCTGTGCTCTCCCGGGAGGACCTGGAGTGTGTGTCTCTGGGAAAAGTGATAGCTTTGGGGACTTCTGGGACGATGCTTATAACCAATTGTGGGAGGGTCCCCAGGGCATGGAACAAAGTTCGACCTGGCACAGCAGCTCCTCTGGCATCCCAGGTAGTCGCTCAAAATAGACCAGCTGAGGCTGTAAGCCAGCTCCTCCTGCTGGTGATGGGAAGGGGTGAGCCTCCTGGAAATGGTGGGTGGTGTTCCTCCAACTTTCAGGTTCCCAAGAATGACGTGGGGCATTTGATAAAACCTTCGGAATCCCAGGCCCTGCTCCTGACTCATGACATCAGAATCTCCAGGGAGAGGGGCTTGGGAATCTGGATGTGGAACAAACACTTCGTTTGTTTAAGTTGATTTTTATTGTTGTTTTTCATGACCAGACAAGTCCGAGAAATGCTGGGGGTGGCGATCAATGGGAACTTTAGGCTCTTGCAGGTTTCGTGAGAACTGGCTCCTAGAGAGATCGATTGCCCCTGGTTGGGGAGTAGGTGGGAGGATTCCAGTGTGGGCTTTCTTTTCCTTTCTCATTTGTCCCTGGGTCATCCCCAGATAAGCACTCAAGTGTCCTCTCTTATGAGACCCGGTGCTGGGTCCTGGACTGCCGTAAGTGGCAGGTGGGGTGAAGTCCCGCCCTCAGGAGCCGGCAGATGGGCTGACCGCCGGTTCTGTGCACAGTTGCCGGAGCTTTCCAGTGGCTGCTGATTTAACTGGGGAGGGCCTGTCTGCGTGGGGCCCCTCCTAGCTGGAGACAGGTCCCTTTTATAATCAGCAGCCTGATGAAGAGGCCTTCCTGTAACATCCCTCTGATATCTGTCTCCGTTCAGTATTGCCCAGGTGACAAAAACAGTGTTCATTCTTGGCAGTCATTCCCTGCTGTCATCGGAGGTGGGCCCTAGCTGTGCTGGGTTTCTGGGTAATCTGGCCAGGATCCAGCACAACCTTGTGTCTAATCCAGCAGGGAGCGGCCATGGGGTTGTACTGGCTCAGCCTTTCCCTTGCAAAGGAAGGCATCTGCGGACTGCCACAGAATGCTTTCTTCCCCAGCAAAACCCTTGCAGTTGCTCGGGCAGTACTTTCCTTTCTCGCTTGAATGATTACAGGGGTAGTTTATGGCTCTCATGACCCTGGTGGTGGTGATGACGTCATGGGATTGAAATCCGTCTCACCTGGTGGGTGGGTACACTGAGTCACTGAGTGTGTCAGTCAAGAGCATTGGCCACAGATCAGTGGCACTTGGCAGCAATACACAAATCCAGCCACCCCTATCCCCGCCTCAGGTCTCAGTGGCACAGCTGGGTCCCTAGCCTGTGGCATCGCCCCTGCCCCTTGACCTTGATCTTCAGCCTCAGAAGCAGGTTACCCGTTCCCATGTGATTGCCCTTCACGGTCCCTCCCCGGGATTCCAAGTGACCTCTTCAGGTTTCCAGTTTTAGCCCCTTCCATCCCAGCCGATCACACTCGACCATAGCCACAGGAGGAGCAAGCTTTAGAAAAGGTCTGGCACGAAGCTTCGTTTTTCCCTGTCTGCTTTGGCTGGAATCTCGTGTGGGTTTGCGGGTGGTTGGCAGTATTTTGTTGTTTATAAGTATAGGGGCTCTTCCCCGTTGCTTTTCTCTAAGAACAACCACGCTCTGAGCTACCCATGGCAAATTCTGGCTTTGGACTTGTTGATCCCCAGAGCCAGTGGGGTCATGGGCCCTGGAGGATTTGCACCCAGTGACAGGTCTGAGTGTATATTTAAGGAACCAAGAGAGTGTTCCTCTCAGAGGGAGGATTCTCTGGTTGACTCAGACAGAGTTTTGTTAGCTCAGCATTTAGCTTTCAGCCCTGGTGAGTTTCTGACTTATTGAGAGTAGGCTGGCCGCAATAATCTTTCCTATATTATCAAATAAAGTAGGTCTCTTTTTTGGCCCTCTAGAAATCAGTGTTTTTTCTTTTGGTTTTGGAGAGCTCGGCTTTGGGGAGGATATGCATCAGTTGCTCTAGTGTGCTTAAAGCAATGAGATAAGATGAAATAGGACTTCTCCACTCTTCCTTCCTGGGTTTCTGGATCTGACCCCTCGCTCCCTGTGGAAAGTTGGGTGGGATGGTGATGGTCAGATCTCCTCCCTGCTGGGTGGGATGGATGGTGGTCCCTGCTGGGTGGGATGATGGTGGTCCCTGTTAGATCCTGGCCCTCTGGGGTCTGTACCCTGCATGTCCTGAGCCCTTTATTCCCAACCACCCTCCTGTAAGTCATTCCTCACCCCCTTGTTGGACTGGCCTAGAGCTGAGCTGTGTTTCTGGGCCCTTTGGCCAGGATCTAACTAGAGCGGGCCAGTAGGAAGAGGCTGTGATAGCCACATGGCCTCTCTCTGTGTTTAGTTTATGGTAAGCAGACACCTGGCTTCATAGCACTGTTTTATGTGTGCACCTGCAAATGTGTTTACTTTTAAGAAAGAGAGACAGGAGAAGTGAAAGCAGGCACAGGCATATATTCTCTCCTGTCAGCTCTGTGGCCCCGTAGAGAGGTGTTATGTCTACAGTTGAGCTGGGTTGGATGGGAGCTCCCTGAGACCTTCCTTTCCCCTCCCCTGCCCAGGAGTTAAAGGAGCTTTGCTGCTTCACTGACTTGACTAACTTTGTGGCCGTGGATAGACCACTCCCTCTTTCAGCCTCAGTGTTCTTATCAATAAAATGATGGGATTATGCAATACTCTCTCTATTACACTTGAAAATGCAGCCAAGAGCTAAGGCTATAAAAGGAAGCAGCCCAGTTACTGATTAGATGGCACTTCTGGGATGAGTGGAGCCACAGAACTCACACCGCAGGGAGGGCGGAGGACCCCCCCATTCAGCTAGCGCCACGGTGACAGCCTCGCTCCATGGCAGAGCCTGGGGTGACCCTGGATCTACTGTTAGTGCCCTCAGCCACCTTCCCCCTTCTCATGGGAGCCGCTGCCTACTTTTCTGTTCCCCTGAATTCTTGCTCCCTGAATTCTGGAACCTAACCATGCTGGGAGGCAGAAAACCAGGACCAGATTCTAGATCTGCCACCAAGTGCTGGGTGACCTTGCAAAATTAGCATTCTTCCCTGCCTTCCCTATATAACAGCGGTGATAGCACCAGAGAGTCTTTTTTTTTTTTTAGACAGACTCTTGCTGTCTCCAGGCTGGAGTGCAGTGGTGCAATCTCAGCTCACTGCAACCTCTGCCTCTTGGGTTCAAGCAATTCTCCTGTCTCAGCCTCCCAAGTAGCTGGAACTAAAGGCACGCACCACCACCCCAGCTAATTTTTGTATTTTTAGTAGAGTCAGGGTTTCACCATGTTGGCCAGGATGGTCTCGATCTCTTGAGTTCATGATCCACCCATCTCGGCCTCCCAAAAGTGCTGGGATTACAGGTGTGAGCCACAGCGCCCAGACGCACCAGTGAGGCTTGAATGAGTCACAGGATTGTTGTGAGGATCCAGTAAGAAAATAGTTGTGAAATTACTCTGTGAATTGGATATACATCTAAATATAATAAATTATTATTTTGTTACATTTCTATCTTCCTTTTTTTTTTTTGAGATGTGGTTGGAAGGCTTGCCCAGGCTGGAAGGCAGTAGTATGATATGATCGTGGCTCACTGCTGCCTCAGCCTTCCTGGGCTCAGATGATCCTCTTCCCTCAGCCTCCCGAGTAGCCAGGACTATAGGTGCATGCTGCCATGCCTGGCTAGTTTTTTATATTTTTGAGGAGATGGGGTTTAGCCATGTTGCCAGGCTGGTCTTGAACTTGTGGGCTCAAGGGATCCACCCAACTTGGCCTTTCACAGTGCAGGCATGAGCCACCGTGCCTGGCCCTTTTGTTAATTTTTTTTTTTTTTTTTTGAGACCAAGTCTCACTCTGTTGCCCAGGCCGGAGTGCAGTTGTATGATCTCGGCTCACTGCAACCTCTGCTTCCCGGGTTCAAGCGATTCTTTTTTTTTTTTTTTTTTTTTAATTTAAATTAAAGACAGGGTTTCACCATGTTGGCCAGGCTGGTCTTGAACTCCTGACCTCAGGTGATCCGCCCATCTTGGCCTCCCTAAGTGCTGAGATTACAGGCGTGAGCCACCACACCTG